TAAAAGGGCTTTTTACACTTCCGGGAACCGTTATTACCTGGGGATGGGAGGTCTAAGGATCTAGGTTTTTGCAAGCTCGGATCAAATCTTCTCTAGTATCCGTTCCGAGTTTCATAAGGTTAGCCCGGGTAGTTTCCATTGGGGGGGTTGCAATTTTGGTAACATTTTAAAAAGCCTGTTTAGTGTTTGTTTGATTTGTTCGATTTTGCATTTTAACCAGTTGTTTACTTCTTATCGTGTTGATTCGTCAATACCGAGCTTCGTACTACTCAATAACCTCCATTACAATGCTTGCATTTCTCAAAGTAAACTCCCAAAGGAAATATGAGTTTGCCGAAAAAATATTGAATCATTGATTCTACATATAAAGCTAGTTTTTCACCTCTTAGATAACCAAAATTATCAAACAAACTTTTTCGCTTACTGTGCTTGCTCGAAGTTAGAACAACAAAACCAAACAATCACAACCGCTTCTGCTCAGACCTGAGTGACTTTTTTTGCGTAAAGTTCGAGTTTTGGCTTAAGTAGCTTCAGTATGATATATCACTCGAACCAATCTGATGATACTATGTGGTACCTGAATTCGACTCGGAAGAACTGAAAAAGTAGAAAAAAAACGAAGACAAGAATTTTTTCCTCTATCAGGTGTTAGAATAGTAATCAACAGCTCATATAGAAACATTTTTAGCTTTTTCCGAAGTTATGTGATTTTTCCTAACTGTATTTAGGAAGAAGTAACGAAGCAAAAACAATCAAAGAAATTTTTAATGACTCCGAAAAAAGTTAAATTTGAATATTCCGTTTCAAATCAAATCTCATTTAAAAGCTTTTATTTTGATGTGATATATAATTTTGGGCAAATGCTAAACACACTACCATATCTACAAACCGCCATATCTTGGAACCAAAATTACGTCACAATAACGTAAATTTTATCAGACTTACGAAAGATTGGCACCAGGGGCGGAATTAGGGGGGGCGGGGGTTCGGAAGCCCCCCCCCCCTCAGGGTTTCGACCCCCAGTCCACCCAAAGAGTACTTTTGGTAATTTTTAATAAATATATTTTTGGCCGACCGACCCTAAAATTTTTCTAAAGGCGCCTTCGGCGCCATTATATACGAACTTTTAGGGGGAACGCACGCCGAAAAAAAACGCTATTTTTTTGTCAAAATTTTCCAAAAAGTGCCCAAAAACGGTGAAGAAAATAGAAAATATGGCCGGAACATTGTCTTTTTAGTGCATTAGGAGAGCTGGGAATGAGAGCTTTTTGGTCGACCTAAAAAAAGTTCGTCGAAATTTTCGAAATTTTTTTTGAAATTTTGCCCCATTCTCGAGAAAATACTAGATCCGCCCCTGATTTGCATATCAACAAATACAATCTGCTGTTATTTTGCATACTACAACAATATTATTTTCGGCTTGTTGGAATGGAAATTTTATTTTGGGCTTGCTGGTCATTCGGCTTGTTGGCCTATCATCATAATTCGATCTCCCAGGACGTGCATATAAATAAGTAAAATTTGTATGGCTCACATGGGCGCGACCATAAATACGAGATGACTGAAGTTATGTATATTTTCAAGTAAATAGTGACATTTACATACGAGGTTCCCTAAAAGACAGCTCAGCTGGGAATATCTTGGCGACAACTTTGAAGAAGTGAAAAACATACCAATAATATTGCAGTTTTTAGGCAGCAGAAAAATTTTTTTAAATTGATTTAATGGGAAAATGAACATGTCTGCTATGTTCAAAGTCTTCGACAAGTTTGCTATAAAACCATTCTGCTAAGTAATACTGATTAGTAGCTTCATACTTAAGCATAAAAAATTTTCTGGTGTGTACGTAGTTTTATATACATTTCTGGTAATTAATTCTGGTGGGACCAAAAAGAGTGAGTCTTATGTAATCATAGAATTTTATAGCTAACTCAGTATTGTTTCAAAAAGCCACATGTGGTCGATTGCTTACAGAGAAAAAGGGCAAAAAGGCAAAAAAATATATGGTAGTGATTTCTACAGTTTTTTACCAGTGCGCGTCCATTAGAGGAATAGAACTTAATTCCTCCTCATTTTATGAGCATTTTTGAACTCCCGCAAACAGAGCAATAATTAAATTCTTTGAAAAATTTGAAATACAGCAACTAATGAGATAGAAAAAATTAACAGTAAGTTTTAAATAGGAGTTATCTTTTTTCAGTTTTCAGCTACCAAAACAAATGTTTTCGGGAGAGAATTTTCAGGAAGTCAACGTTTTGTCTCGTATTGATTGGCATGGTATGCATTAGTAGTCTAGCTCTAAAGCTAAAAAAAGAACTAAACAAAAGTAAATAACTGATAAAATACCATTCACAGACAATTTGCCCTTTTAATTTGATAAGCCCTCAATCAAGATTGTATAGCCCAATCTTCTAGGCGCCGCTACCATTGGATCGCTCTCAAATATAATTAGAACATTTTCCATTATAGTTCCCCTCTCTCACAGCTTACTAAAAAACTTATTCTTACTCCAGAAGAGTAAATTTTGTATTGTAAGGTGGTAAATCTGGTTGGCTATATTAAAACAGCCAACTATGATATTTCAATCTTTGTTGATACCAACTAGATAGTTTTGTTCGATAACATTTTGCAGCAGAAGCAGACCAAATTTTCTTGCAAGTTTATTGTTATATCAAATCTGTAGTCGCCGTATTTGTAAGAATCTCGTCGAATTGTTAGTTTTGTTCAGTTTCTTTTTTAAAAACGTATAAATATTAGTTCGAGCTAAAATACCTCTGCTCTTGTTTTGCTTTTTCGATTGCCTTTGTAAATTGCATTTTTTTAACTTTTGAATACTAATGAAGAAGGGCTCTAATTTTTCCGCGTGAAAAAAAAACAAAACAAATTTTTAATTAGGCCCTAACGCATATGCATTTATTTTAAAAACCACAAACCACATCTACAACTAAGCAGTCATAAAAGCCCAAACTTAAACAGCTAAAATTATCGCAGAAATTAAAGCCTACAAGTAAGTTTTGCATTTCAAATACTGAAAACTACACTAGCACAAAAATAAACGCAACTTGAGGTCTTGGCTCTTTTTCCTTTTCCCCCCACCTGCAAAATTTTACAAGTGAATTTTTGTTTACATCATCCAAATGTTAAAAAAATTGGGCTGCAAACTAATTAGGCCATGACAAATATATTTGGTCCCATGTTTAACCTTGTAAAACCCCTCGTTACACCAAAAAAAAATTTGCCTATGTGAGGTGGGGGAAAAGGAAAAAGAGCCAGCCCAAGTTTTTTTCCAAAATACTTGTTTTCAGCGTCCACTTTGGACAATATTTATCCTCAAACATCCGCAAACTTTGTACATAGACCAGAAATATTGTACACTGAGCTTAGTAAAATTTTCACACTGATCACTTCTCGCTGAGAATGTTTCACATCGCATGAACAGTTTTTTCATCCGCTCACTCGAGAAAATTCACTCATGAGGAAAACTAGCATTTTCAGACCATAAGTAATTTGGTCAGTCTTTGAAACAATAAAAGGATAATTCCAGAGAGGGTAATTCTGGTCTTTTTCTTCTGGTCGACGTAAAAGTTATACTTGAAGTGAATTTTGTCCCAATTCGACATTGAAAGAAGGCTTTTTAGCGAGTAAAAAATTGCCCGCAATTTTTGCCACCATGTAAATTGGCGTGGCATTAAAACCGGACTTTGATAACTTCAAAAAGGTAGCTCAAAAATATGCTTTTTGAAAGCAAAACTTGAATTTTTGGTGAATTATCCACTAAACTAGTCCTATACACTGGAGAAAAAGAAAAACAAAATCAGAAGATTTTTAGTCTATAATTTTGTAATGAAACACCATTTTTGACAAAAATTACTGTATAATTTAAATAATTTTTGTGCTTAGACCGAGAGCAAATGATCCCAGCTGCCTCTTATGAATGATGATATATTTAGTTGCAAGAATTTACCGGATCAAATCGGGCCTGAAAATGCCAGTTTTCACAAAAAGCATTTAGTTATGTCCAACGGCGTGAAAGTGTAAATGTGTGACCTTAGAAAAAAATGTCACAAAGCCATTCAATTTGTTGTTCCTGAGAATGTTTAATTTGGCTTGAGTAACTTTTTTCTAATTTTTTTTTGCGATACAAAGTCACGCCGTTAAACGTGGCGATGAACGTACTATTTATTTCGAAAACTGGCACTTCTAGAAATCCGGAATAAACTGGTAAGATGGCAGCTCTGAGCTTTTGCTTTCACTTTGCTTTTGTTCAAGTTCTCCTTGAAAGTTGTCCAAATTGGTTCTTGAAAAAAAAAAGCTTATAGGCATAATAGCGGAAAAAAACCTGAGGTTGCGTTTGATTTTATCACCAGGGTAAAAAAATGATATTCATAAATAGATGCAACACTACATAAAATTTTGTCCATGAACCAAAGCAATATTAAAGAAACAGACGGAAAACCTGATTGACATTGGGCTAAATGGTCTGGTTCATAAGCACTATATGTTTACCCATAGACTACGAAACACAATGACAGTCACAAAAGCCTGAAAGTGTGTAACCCTGAGTATGACCTTACATCATTCAGGTCCATACATCCGCAAACATGATTACAATTTGAACACACATTTATTAAAAGAAGCAAATGATGTTACTTTGCGTCAAAAGCTTGTACAGTCAAAGGCGCTCTTTGCAAGGGTACGCTTGCATTTGTTACCATTCACAGACTAAAATGATTCATCTACAAGAAAGTGAAGAATTTTGCTCTCGGCTTTGAGAGTTTTAACGTTTTATTTTTTGGTAGAATTGTATCAGAATCTCTATTAACTTCTAAAATCCAGTTATTATTGTACGAAGTTATAATAGTTTGCGGGACTTTAAAGCGTGTGGTTATACTCTGACTGAAGTGTTGAGTTAATTTATGCAGCCTGCTTGGAGTGTTTGACAATTTTGGTATTTATTTTTTTTGTTTCTACCATCAATTCTGTTTCTTTGTTTGGCGAAGTCTGTTCATAATCTGAGACTGAAGTGAGCCACGCCAACCGTAAAACATCCGAAAATTTAAAATTTTCAAGGTTTGCTTCATTTAACAATAAAAATGGAGAGCCACAAAACTGAGCCATAAGAAAGTGCTGCAGCTTTCAAATTCTGCCAAACTTCCGCCAAAAGATTCATTTGAGCTCATAAAAACATAAGCGAAACCTGAAAAACGGAGACAAAAAAGATACCTTGACCGTTCTAAAAGATTAGTACTGGAAAAACTGTTACCCTCTTCAGAAGATAATTATTGAAAAAACTTTGCTTATCGTACTGTCGACGTTTTGAATAGCCGGATGCTTTGAAATTACAGTCCCAAAATGGCAATGGATTATGCGCTTGGACAGAAGTTTATCAACTCGGCCATGGTCGAGCAGAAGGACATCTCAAGTTTCTTCAAAGACATGTGTCGCCTTCTGAAACGTGAGCAATTTTGATTCCTTTCTGTGGTTGATTTTGATATGGGCTTTCAGAGAATTATTGTGCCAAAAAAGCCTTTTAAACGTCTTCTAATTTTTACTGATGAAAATTTGCTGAAAATATATTTTTTAAACTCAACAAAAAACTAGATTTTATTAAAACAGAAATTCATTGCCAGCCACAACGTTTGCAGTTACAAAGGGTCAAATCTCTGAGGCAAAACAAATAAAACATTTGCAGATGTTTTGTATGAGAGATAAATAGTTCAGCGCTCGTTATGAGCGCTCGTTTCGATAAGAAACTTTTTGTTATTTAGAAAAAATGAAAAGCAATGTTGCTAGCGATTGTTTCGCTCGAGCTATGTTTCTCTTCTGTGTGAACCATGAAGCTCAACTCACCTCATATCTGTCCCAACACCCCCCTTCGTCCTCCACTACTGACTCTTTTCTGGGGGGAGGAGGACAACATGCTAATGTGCAGATTATAGTGGATAAACTGGCAGATATTGTCAACTCGCGATCTCCTCAAGGTATTTTAAGCATCTAGAATACTTGATATAAAAGTATCAGTTTCATACCACCAACACCTCCAAGCATAAACTGTAGCCCCCCTCATCAAGCAATTAGCCTACTACGGTATTATTTTTTGTTACTAGACTATGGATAGGCTGTAATCGGAAAAAGCCTTACATTTTCATGTGTTTCGACTAGTACTGTTAACTGCTTGACTGCTTAGATGAGCATAACTGCATGACAAAAAGCATCTGTGCTTTCGTCATTTCCCGAATAAAACCCAATTACTGGTGAGTTTGTTGCAAATCATAATAAAAATTGAAAAAACTCAAACTGTTTTGACATTGACATAAGTTTTTTTACAGGGAAAATTTTGGAATGAAAAAACGGACCAATTCATCTTCAAGTCTCTCCCGAAAGATCTCTGTATCACTCAAGTCTCCCTCCATGCTAGACTTTTCGCCCAGAGCCAACCGGGCATACACCTACACCATTCCAGAAGGAGACAAACCAGAACGAGAAGAACCCGAGGCCTCCGAGGACTTCCTCAAAAGCAGCATCACGAAGATATTTGGGGGGTCCAAGAAGTCTCGAAAAGAAACGTATATATCGAGGTCACAATCCAAGCACGAGTTCAATTCTAGTTCGCTTGATATAAACGAGAACCCATCTTCAGAGACACGTTACCTCCTGGAACTCCTGGAGAGCTTTATGGATACCGACAGACCAGGAACTGACATGATGCAAAGTCTGACTCTTATTTCGAGAATTGTCGTAGAACGAGGGAAAGGCAATGAGGTCATTGAAATGCTCGAGAAAGAAGAGTTTTTGAGTCGCATTGAATAGTTTTGGATCTCATTTTGACGAGTTTGAAAACTTTGCGCTTCAAGAAATTTCAGCCGATTTTATGGAGCTCCATTTTTGTCTCACTTTGTACTTTCAACTGGCGACATTCAGTGAAGAGCTAACGCGAAGGCTAATCAAAGCAGATTCTACGTGTTTTGAAAACCTCTGCATGAATTTGTACGACCAAGCTGTTCTTTGGGAAGCAAACGTACCGATGCGACTACAACAAGACAAAACTAACCCTCAAATGATGCTGATTATGGAGCTAACTTCATCACTTATTACTACAATTGTGCATTATGCACTGAATTTTTTGCATGATCCGCTCAAAATTCCCAGACGATTTAACGGAGACATGAACTGTGAATTAAAAATAAAAGTGCCACAAATTACTGACTTAGATGATGTAACTGAAAGTTTGACTGAAATATAAAATTATCAAAAGCTTACCACCTAGATTAAATGACCATATTAGTGCAAAATTACTCATTCCTCAGCAACCAACTGTTAAAGTGATAGCTTAAGTCACATGAAAAGACGCGGAAAAAAACTGCTCAACAACCGTTATAATTCAAAAAATTGCCATCTTCTTTTTTATACATCAAATTCCCCAAATATGATTTAACAATTTTGCAGGTTGTGAAGAACTCGCTTAATATTGCCATTACTGCATCCCCGTTTAATTTTTGCGTTTTGAGCTCAACTTACTTTCAGTGTTTTCTGAAATTATGAGGAGTAATGTACTTAATCGTCATCGGCTCTCTCCCCCCCCCCCAATCTTGCCGCATTTTCCCCATTTTTGAAAGCTCTCTGGTTTTGCTCGCGGAAAGGGATATGTTCAGGCGCGGATCTAGAAATTTCTCGAGGAGGGGGGGGGGGTGGATTTAAAAAAAAATTTTGTCGACTTTTTTTTTAGATCGACCAAACTGATTTTCTGAGCTCTCCCAAACCACTATAAAGACCCTAATTTGACAAATATTTTTGGGCCGCAGGCAAATTTTTGAAAAAAGGCTCAAAAAAGGCGTTTTTAGACACTTTTTTGGAAAATTTTCACCAAAAAGTGGCGTTTTTTCGGCGCGCGCTCCACCTCAAAATTAGTATAGAATGGCGCCGATGGCGCTTTTAGGAAAATTTTAAGGAAAGTCAGCCAAAAATGTATATCTCAAAACAGTACAAAAGGAGGACCCTTTGGGTCGGCAGAGGGTCGAATCCCTGAGGAGGGGGCGTCCGCCCCCCGCCCACCTCTAAATCTGCTGCTGGACATGTTGAGTACCCACATGAGACCGAAACTTACAAAACCCAGCCGCAAAGCGAAGTTTCTGTTAAGTTAAAAGTTCGTGTTTGTTTAAAATTTCAATTCTGTCATTTTTTCAAAATAACAGTACAAGTTGTTGGTGCATCAAAAACGTTCAATTAAACTACAATTTATAGAAAAAAAGTATTTGCGTAGAATTATAAGCACAATATCAAAGAAAACTGTCACACGCTCACACACACACACAAAAAACCTCAGACACCTAGATTGGGCTGTATGTCGTTTTTGCATAGATAATCGGTTCGAATAAATAATTTGTCCAAAGCAATCATTCAATTCTCAAAAAGGATAGTACAAATTTATCAAGGGGTTTTGAGCGTTTGCTGGACGGTAGATTTATGACTCCTTGAAACTCAATTTTAATGAAAGGACTTTTCAAAAAAAAACTTCGCGAACACAATCCAAAACCTTTTTATCGTCACTGGAAAGTTACTCTGTGCAAAAAATGCAAGGTCTGGAAAGAGAATGATATGCCATTGTCGTAATCATCATTACTTCTGTCATCAATCAATTTAAAAGATTCTTTTTTAACCCCAGCGTTAGATACTGTGTACTGTGAATCGAAATTCTGCATACTAGTTTGGAAGTTTGTTGACTGTATCCAGTAATGTATTGACCTAAAGGAAGTTACTGATTTTAATCCCCAGAATAAAATTTTGTATTGTCACAAGAAGACAGCGAAACAGTTTATTCCTCAAACATTTGTTTTTTCATGCTTAATACTGGTAAGTTTTATCCTCAAAATGAAATTTTTGAGGTATTAGGAACAAATCAATTATGGCAAATAAGCTTCCTTCACCAATTTGGAACCATTTTTAAGACGGATTAAACCTCCGCTAAGGCGTTAATAGTGCAAAAAATATTGCGCGTTAGTTGTCCCAAATTGGCCAAAATGCCAATCTTTAAACCCCCATAACTTTATTAAGAATAATCGAAGGTAAAATAACTTTTCAAGTTTGAGCCTTTTGAATTCGCCTTTTGAATGATGTGAATGGCTAGTTAAAAGGCCGAAACTTGTATGAAGAAAAAAGCCCACCCCGAGCACAAATATTCAGTTGTCTTTGTTACAAAAGTCGGAACAATAATTCAAATTTTTTATTTAAGTAAAACGAATTTGTACTGATCATGGTGTAGAGTTTTGGTGTTTTTTCATCTAAGAGTTAACTCTGCTGATCCTTCTAGTTTTTTAGGGCAAAGAAAAATTGTTCTTCACGTCTTGCAATTGTTTTGGATAGTTAACATCGACGTCTACAAAAAAAATTGCCTGCTTCATCTGTGACATCCGAAATACCCCACTGGATAATTCTCTAGAATCCTTCTATCATACAGAAGTGTCAAGCAAAGCACTAAGCGTAGCAACTAAGGGTGATACTGCAGGTTCAGCGGGGGCTAGCGCAGAAGATCAGGTCGAGGAGGAAGCTGTAGATTAACATTCTACTGATTTTCCAGTCAGGAGGTCCATCAGGACGAGGGACCCACGAATCCGAAGATACTGCCACTGATCACCGGATCACTTTCGCTATATAACGAGATCATGGAAGCTGACCCTGAACGAAGCAAAAGCGGAGCAACGTCGTCGAAACTTGATGGGTTGCAGCCTGAAATTGGACAAGGCCAAATCAGGCTAAGTTGGGGTGTTTAGGTCAGACCATCTCAAGTTCAGACAGATTGATTAAACCGAATCAGTTTGGAGGTCAACACCAATTAAAATAGTCAAAGCTGATCAAACTCAGACAAGGTCAACTAGTGATCACAAACAAACTAATTAGTCAGTAATTACTTAACGGGTTCCTTTGTGATGCTTAGTTTTGATGTCACCCAAGTTCACTTTTTTCAGTTTATTATTCAACAATTCCTACCTCTTTGCAATCGTCTGTTGAAACCTCAGGTCTATCTCAGTCTCTAACCCCAGCCCTTAACCCTAGTTGCTCTAGCTGTGAATCTTACACAATTAGGGTAGACGCAGTAGCAACGAAGAAAGTATCAGTTTTCTGAAGAAAAAAAAAGAAGGGCGAAATTGGTAGTGCAGTGGGACTGCTAAAAGTTGCTGCTGTCATTTTGCTGTTCTTGATACACCCGAACAGAAAAAACACAAGTACAGTGTAGGAAACCCTATTAAAACATTAAACACTCAAAAAGAAAAAATAGCCGTTGGACAAAGCATTTGATAGCTTAATGGTAGCTTACAAAGGTATGAATTTACAATATTGGGTGCAAGAAAATTTATCCCTGTTACCCAAACACCCCGATCGTGATAAGTTTATTGAAGCTTGTTTTTTTTAGCTGATGTAGATTTTTATTGTCGCAACTGTAAACTCAGGATGTGACATATAAGTCGTTGTGCGAGATTGAAAACGCACCGGAACTTTATAATAAGAGAGTAAAACAGACACGATCTGATAAAGGGTGGAGAAAGCTAGAAATTATTGTACAAACAAGCCTCTCTAAGAAATAGTATCGATAAAGGGGTTGGGTTCTAGATCATGAACAACGCCCGATGTGAATGATACTGCTAGAGTTTTAACCGTCTGATCCAAAGAAATGCGAATCCAGACTGCCAAAAAATCACATATAAAGCTATGCCATTTCAAAGAAAAATAACAATAAAGTATAGATGATATTCAAAATTAAGATAAATTTTTAGCACAGAGTTCATGACTGAAAAACAGCATTGACATAAGTGAACATCAAAAGAAAAAAGGAGGTCAACAGGTAACCAACCGGGTTATGTCAGGGTTGTTTGTGCGGCTTAGCAGAATAGACACAAAAAGCGTACCACTGCGCCAGGCTCTATCTCCACCTGGAATATCATATCAGAGATAAAAATCTATCCAGCCTGAGACTCGCAACTCTAACGATGATGAAGTCACTGGTTCCTTTACAGAGCCCTTGCGTCCAAATGTTACGTACAGAGCTTACACCAGGCCAGCTAACACCACCAGTCAAGTTCTTATTGTCATGTCAAACATTTTTCGTGAAGCATCGGATAGCACGTGGAGAGTAACGAAGGTGTCCGTTCACTCCTATTCCAGCGAGAATCGGGTGCAGTTTCTCATATTTCGCTCTAGTTGCTAACACGTCTGCTTGAAACTGCTCCAAAGATATCATAATCACCTCTTGATATCATAATCACCTCTTGATATCATAATCACCTCTTGATATCATAATAACCTCTTGATGTCATAATCACCTCTTGATATCATAATCACCTCTTGATGTCATAATCACCTCTGCAGTGCCATCATAAACAACTCTTGAAATAACAGCAAAATCACCCTGTTGTTTTCTTCTCTCACATGTAACATTCTTTCCAGCTTCTGTTTAAATTTTTGGTGACGGCCGGTGCCTGTTCAAAAGCACCCTATCCTAAAGCACACATGCTTTCATGCACCTCCTGTAACACAATCCGGGTCGAGCTGTGGCATTTGAATACCAGAATTGCATTCATGATGCACGACCAAACACTCCCTGCTGTTTGGTCGTTAATCATAAATGCAACTCTGGGATTCAAATGTACAACCAAACAGCAGATATTTCAAAATAATATTGGAACAGCACGAAGATCACCCTCGACTTGCACTAAACTTCTCCACCGCTTCTCCAAGTGTCTTGCCGTCAGGAGTTGTTCCGAGTGAGGCTACCCAACAATCCTTGGCACTGCAAGTGGTCGTTGCTTGCCATAGCTACTATCAATACCACTGGCTCCATAGTTTGGTGACGTGCCGTATTTTAATGGCCATTGAGACCGTCTATCCCCAAACTATTTCCGATGCTGTAAGATAACTCACGCCTGGACAAAACGAGGCTCAAGGATTGAATAGATAGCCTTATCAGTTCTCTCCCATTCCTCATATCTTGGGGATCATAAGCGGCAAAAATTTTATCGCATTTTTCCAGCTCAAAATTTGCATACCTTCTCTCAGCGTCTTCCATAAAGGTCGTCTATAGGTGGTACCGTTATATTCCCATGCCTGTTGGCACGGTGACTAAGAGAATTGCCTAAACAATTTTTAATAATCGTTGTTTGGCTTGTTTTCATCGAGAAACTTGCCTTTCCGACACGATGGCGCTTTTTCCCTAAAGTGTTGACGGACGTCCATCCATCATGTAGAGGGCCCCATCGTGTTGTACAGAGGTTCTCCACCTTGGTTCATCGGTCGCAACGTG